TATATATATATATATATATATATATATATATATACATATATTTGGGTTTTATTTTATTTTTTATTTTTTTAAGATTTTATTTGGGAACTGGAGGAGGGGAACATCGTTTGGGAATCGGGGAAGGGGAACAAACAAGTTGCTGTCCTTTTGTTCTTCAGTCTAGTTGTGGAGGACGTCGCTTCACTGGCCCATATTGGTATTATGATCATTGCTCTCTTCCCGGCTGGGGCAGTCGGTCGCCAGTCATTGGACGGCTGCTCATGATGGCTCACGGCCACTCTCGCCGGCAGCCCAGCTCCAGGTCGAGCTGTTGTTCACCATCTTATCTGTAGAGAGCGCAGCGTCACTGGCCCTCATGTGGGATCCGAACCAAGGACCCGCTGCTCAGAGCTTGCGCTCCCAAGCCAACCCTTAACAACTGAGCCACTCAGCCGGCTGGTGTTTATTTTTATTTTACAAGAATATAACATGCTGAAACAGAAAAATGGGGGTTGAGTACATCATTCACATCTCGGAAACCAGCTCCAGTTGTCAACAATAGATTACATATTCTAGACTTTTATACAAATGCAGTCATACGGTAGATAATCTTTGTGTCTCTTTCAGTGAGCATAATTATTGTGAGATTCATCCATGTTGTTGTTTGCATCACTAGTCCATCCCTTTTAATTGCTGAGTAGTATTCCATTGTGCAGTCATTCCTTCATTTGTTTATCCATTCAACTTAATTTTTTTCCCATTTTTCCCAGCCTTGCTGATATATAATTAACATATAACATTGTGTAAGTTTAAGGTGGATAATGTGATGATTTGATATATGTATATATTATGGTGAAATGATCCATTCACCTATTGATGGACATTTTGATTGTACTAGCTTGGGGACTATTACAAATAAAACTACTATGAACATTCATGTAAAAATCTTTGTAAAAATATATTATATTTATATTGTTTTTATATATAATATATATTTATATATAATATATATATATATTTACAAAGATTTTTACATGAATGTTCATAGTAGTTTTATTATATATATGTATATATATATATTTTTTTTATATACATGCTTATATATTTATTATATATATGCTTTCTTTTCTCTTGGGTAAATACTGAGCAGTGGAATGGCTAGATTATATGGTAGATATATGTTTAACTTTTTAAGGTGCTGCCAAACTGTTTTCCAAAGTGCCTGTGCCACTTTAAATTTCCACCAGCAGTGTATGAAAGTCCTAGATCCTTCACATCTTTTTCCACACTTGGCATGGTTAGTCTTTTTCATTTTAGCCATTCTAATAGTTGTGTAGTAGTATTTCATTGTGGTTTTAATTTGCATTTCCCTGATGACATATGATGTTGAGCATCCCTTATGTGTTTATTTACCATCAATATATCTTCTTTATGTTTGAGTCTTGTGCTCAGTTTCTTTGGGTTGTTTGTTTTCTTGTATTGAATTTTCAGAGTGTATATATTCTAGATACAAGTACTTTATTGGTTATATGGATTGCAAATATTTTCTCCCATTCTTTAGCTTGCTTTTCATTCTCTCAATGTCTTTAAAAGACTAGAAGGCTTTTATTTTGATTAAGTCCATTTTATCAATGTGTTCTTTTATGGATTGTGTTTTTGATAGCGTATCTCAGTAAACCTTGCCCAACCCAAGGTCACAAAGATTTTCTCCTGTGTTTTCTTCTAGAAGTTTTTAGAGTTTTAGGTTTTACATTTAGATCTATGATCCATTTTGAGTTATTTTATTTTTTTTTTTAAAGATTTTATTGGGGAATCAGGAAAGGGAACAGTTGTTGGAGAATTGGGGAAGGGAACATTGTGTTTTTCCAGGACCCATCAGCTCCAAGTCAAGCTGTTGTCCTTCAATCTTAGTTGTGGATGGCGCAAGCTCAGCTTTCAATTTAGTTGTGGGCGGTTGTGGGGGAGGGCGCAGCCCACCATTCCATACGGGGTTGAACCAGCAACCTTATTGTTAAGAGCACACACTCTCACCAGCCTGAGCCTTCGAACCACCCATTGGCAGCTTAGCTTAGATGCCACTCACTGGCCCATGTTGGAATCAAACCGGCGACCCTGTTGCTCAGAGCTCGCGCTGTAACCAACTGAGCCACCCAGCTGGCCCCCTTGAGTTAACTTTTATATATGGCACAAAATATGGCTTGAAGTTAATTTGTGTGTGCGTGTGTGTCTAATTATTCCAGCACCATTTGTTGAAAAGACTATCATTTCTCCATTGCACTGCCTTTGCACCTTTTCAAAAATCAGTTGTTGTTATACATATGGGTTTATTTCTGGACTCTATTCTGTTCCACTGATCTATTAGTCAACCTTTATGCTGATAACATACTGTTTTGATTACTGCAGCTTTATAATGCGCCTTGAAATCAGAACTAACTCCAACTTTGCTGTTTTTCAAAGTTGTTTTACTTATTCTGTTTCTTGCATTTTCATATGAATTTTAGAATCAGCTTGTTAATTTGTACCCAAAAATAAATCTACTGAGATTTTTACTAGGATTGCGCTGAATCTGTAGACCAATGTGGGAAGAATTAACAGCTTAGAATTGACGGTAGTAAGTCATCAGACCTATGCACAGGTATATACATCTTTATCTATTTAGATCATCTTTAATTTCTCTCAGCAGTGTTTTATAGTTTTCAGTGTCTAGGTCTTTTGTGAGATTTGTCCCTAAGTCTTTCATATTATTTGATATGATTGTAGATTACATCTTTTTATTTCAATTTCTGAATGTTCATTACTACTATGTAGAAACACACTTGATTTTTGTATATTAATCTTGAATCCTGCAACCTTGCTAAACTCATTTATTACTTCTGGTAGTTTTTTGTAGATGCCATCAGATTGTCTTTATAGATGATTATATCACCCACTAATAAAAATAGCTTTATTTCTTTTTAATTTCAATGCCTTTTTATTAGTTATCAAATTTATAGGCATAGTTGTTCATAATATTTCCTATTTTCCTTCTAACATGTATAGTCTGTAGTGATGTTATCTCTTTCCATCCTGATAGTAAAAATTGGCCTCTTCACTCTTTTTTTCAAATCAGTCTGTCTTGAAGTTCATCATTGTTGAGCTTCTCAAGAACTAGATTTGGTTTCAATGATTTTCGCTGTTGTTTTTCTGTTTTCAATTGTATTTCATTGATTTCTGCTATGATCTTTAGTATCTTTATCTTTTATCTTTATGATTTCCTTTCTTCTCCTTCCTTTGGGTTTAATTTACTCTTCTTATTTAGTTTCTTAAGATAGAAGCTGAGATTACTGATTAAAGATGTTTCTATTCTAATATAGGCATTTACTACTATAACACTTCCCCCTGAATATTGATTTTATGGTATCTCACATATTCTATGTTGTGTTTTCATTTTGATGTGCTTCAAAATATTTTCAAATTCTTTTTGATATATCTTCATTGGCCCATTGTTATTTAAAAGACTGAAGTTTGGTTTTCAAATATTTGGGGATTTCTAGAGGTATTTCTGTTATTTATTTCTAATTTAATCCTGTTGTGGTTAGACAATATGCTTTATATGAATTAAATCCTTTTAAACTTATTGAGACTTGTTTTATGGCCCAGAATACTCTCCATCTTGGCCCAATTGCACTTGGGAAGAATGTGTACAAGTTTTCTGTTGTCATTGGGTGGAATGTTCTCTAATGTTAACTAGGTCAACTTGTTTGATAATGGTGTTCAAGTCTACTATGTCTTTCTAATTGTCTGTCCACTGGTATC